CGATTTAAATGTAATTAAATACAATCTGATGAACGTACAGAAAATCTCGTCGTTTATGTATGTTCACGGTTGAAATATTTTTTTGTGAAGCAATATAAATCTCTTATATAGTTTTATAGCAGATGGAGACTTTGTACAAATTGTTCTTAGGTACAAAAGTAGTATGCATGTATATGCTCTTTTTCACTCGTGTTTCTGTCGCGAAGAAGCTGTAATTGTATAGCTTTATTTCGGTTTGAAGAGTGGAAATAGCAATGAAATTACAAGAGACGGAGGCATAATATTATAGTCCTTAGTAATGAAAACGTATGAGGGATATCATAGGTATCATAGTGCATTCCGTGATGTTCATGTCTATGCGTGTTTGATTCTATTTTCCATCAACTAGGCCGTTACCTTGTTTATTTTTCTCAGTATAACAAAGAAGTATAAAAACTGAAACATTGTAAAAATAATATAGGAAAGTTGCTATCATCATAAATTAGGTTGTTGTATCGGCCGTTAACTGTTCATTGCTGAACAAAGCCTTCCATAAAGGGTTTTGTTAGTAGTTGCCACGCTTGGCAGGCGGGTTGGCAATCGCAGTTTGGCTTTTGGTGATCTTTTACAAGAGACGCTGCTGCCCGTCGCTCCACCATAAGCTCCCTTAGTTGCCTCTTACGACACTCACTGGAAAGGAACAGGTGGTCTATTCTATGCCGGGACCTACACGGCTGTTTTTTTTTAATGGATGATATTGCAATAATGACCCCGCCTATGTTATTGGTATACATTGGCGGGGCACAAGTGAGGGATTATTAGTGAAGGTGAAAAGGCAGGTCAGTTAGCCCATCGTGACAAATTCAACTATAAATTAGTCACAAAGGTTTCCAAGGGGAACCGCGTCGAGGTCGAGGAGGAATGGAGATTGACCTCCCCGTTACTAACAATCCTTCCCCCCCCCCTAACATGGCTATTAGGTACTTTATTTAAAATACATGATTAAATTAATGGTAGAGAAACATTGTGTAGCGATATTTACAGCCATCCAGTATATTTTAATACACAATATTTCACTTCGTTAATGTCGTTAGATGTCCTTTCTCTAAGCTTTTTTACTGCGGTCCTTTTGCATACTAAATAAGTTGACACAGCATTTTTCTTTCAACTGTTTGAATTGTCTTGACTGTGAATTAATTATTCAGAAATCAATTTAATTCATTTGGCACCTGTTGTTATACACGTACTTTAGTGGATGGAAAAGACTATAAGCTATTTTTTACCCTGGACAGCGAATATTTCCCGGTCACGCAGACGAAGCCGCGAGTAAAAACTCGTAGAAAAATTATTATTATGTTTATGTTATTATATACACATGATTTATAATAAACGATATAAAATTATAAAATATTGATAATTTAAAGGAAATATTAATTCATCATCATCATCAACTCGGTCATTATCTGTTCACTGCTGAACCTGTACCTGTATCCACTGATTTCTAAAATATTAATTGTTATCTATTAATTAAATGTTTTGTATGATAGGCACCGTGAGTGTCACTGTATATTCTGTGAGGACTATGATCCTGTTAATATCTGTAAATGATCAAAATCAAATAAACATATCATCAAATGGCTCAGCTTGTTACAGATCCAAGTTACGTCAAGAAAAAGTTCTAAAAAAAGATATTACCTATTAATCTCCAATAACTCATTATACATGTCTGTTGATATTTTTCGTCAATTTGCGTACGGATATTATAATATGTGTCTGTAATAAATTTGTAAAATCATTTTTTCTCGAAGTTAACACGTGAGACGTTCTATTTATTAAATCCAATTTTCGTTATCCAATATTACCTTAAGTAAATTTCTCGAATAATTTAGTCATATTCGAGATCGCGGTTATACATTACCTCGTTGCTTATAAAAACATTAAGTAAATATGTCTTAAGTATAATCTATTTTAAACATTGAAATATTTTATCTTGTTATTTCAAACTAAATATATAAATTAACCGAAATTTAAAGGAGATAAATAATTGTTTAAATAGATTTAGTTACGTTTGAATGAATATAGGTGTTAATAAAATTATAAATATTATATTTACAATTCTTTTATTTTTATATCTCTTAACTATTATTGGGGTATAAATAATTATTTATATAATATTATATAAAAAGAAACTAATCCAACTAAGGAATGACGAACTAAGCAATTAAATGCAAATAATGTAATAAATGAATGTTATAATAAGGAGAGTGTTACCAGTAGAATACTACCTTAACCGATCGGGACTTTGTATTAGGTGGGTTATATAGCTCGTGTAGCTCAGTACATTCACTTAGCCTAGCTCTGTAGTTTACAGTGTGAATGGAAGTTGAAAAGATGCAGCAGCTGTCTGCGCTAAGTTAAATTCGCTTAGTGTATTATTTTGTGACATAATAATATTATTACATAATAATATTTTATTTTATATACTTAAATCTACTAGCCGATTTAGATTCAATTAAATTTATTTTCATAATATTTCCAATATACTATAAAATTTAGAAAATAAAAAGGATTATATTTGCAAACATCCTATAAATTGCGTTCTTGGTAACTAACATTTCAAATTTAAGCGAATATTTTAAGCTACATTTCCATCACTATTAAATACTTATTTTTATATAGTAGTGTCTGTAGACAACTTCATAATGAGCTTTTGTGAAGCTTATGACCTCATTTGTGGTATTATGTTTCTTACGATCCACTGAAATGAAATAATAATAAAAATATTTTTCATGCCCTCTCTTTTCCTAATGAAGGCTATAAAATGTATCTTCATACATTAGAAGGGACACATAATCACTTTTAAATTAAATAATCATAATACAGTACGAATCCTATTAGTCTAATTAGGGACTAGCTTTCAAAACAAAGATTACCCTAATTTGAACCAATCCTATATTTGTCAATAAATAGTTAAATAGTGTTAACCTAAGTTTGTAAATTAAGATTTTGTTTTTATAACAATATATATATATATATATATATATATATATATATATATATATATATATATATATATATATATATATTCTTATTAGTAAGAATTAATAAATATAAAAACATTTCACAGTTAATTATTCATCAAACTATTTAAACAAAGATGATTTGAATTTGAAATACATATTTCTGAAAAAATAGTTCGCTATAAATTTTACGAACAAACAAATTTACTTTCACTTCTACAATATTAATAAAAATTTTGTTTATTCAGATCAGTTTTGTCGATTGAATTTTAGGTTATTTCGTCATCATCACCATCATCATCATATCAGCTATTATCTATTCACTGCTGAACATAGGCTTCCCCTTATTGGAAAGTTTAGCCAGTAGTTGCCGCGCTTGGCAGGCGGTTTGGTTTAAGTTATTTAAATCTATATAAATAAAATTATTTGTAGAATGTATGTATGAGTATCACTTCAGAATAGCTGCTTGAATTTGACAAATTATTTTTTATTGTCTTTGATATTATCATGACAAGGTTCCTTTGAAAGAAAATATTTGAAAAATCGTACGGAAAAGTGAAGACTTTAGGGTTCAAATAAAAAAAAAAAAAACGAACTAATGAAAAATATTGAGAGATAACGTTCAATTGTTCGGTTTCTTTCATTGTGTACTGTGAAGGGGAGGTTAGGTTGCATTTTCTTCAGCATTATACTTGTATGAAACCGGAGCTAGCTAGTTTTTAATAAATTAACGGAAGCTAAATTATTGAAAAGCGGTAGTTCTTTTCCCACCCGGGAATACTTTGACTAATTTATTTTACTTTTCTAGAAATCTAGTGCTCGTGTCTGGGGAATAAATCTAAGACGTAATCCAATTCAGTAATACGAATCCATTTCTCGTTGTCTCCTCGTTAAAGGTTAATTCTTGAACTTTGGTATCTTGTCATTATTAAGCCGGTCAGTACAACTGTACTAAAAACAGACCATTTCACTTCTACTTGATTTATAATTAAAAATTAATAGTACATGCTCAATTATACAATACAATTTAGTGTTAATAGAAATGCTGAGTCGAAACCCAGAGTTTATGTAACATGGAATTGAATATATTTCCTAATGTCTAATTGAATTTATTTTGAAATAATTAGAATTAAAGATTTTGCTTGCCAAAAAAATATTAACATAAATGATTGCAATATAAGTATAGGATTAACACGAAAATAAGGTCTGATTATTGTAAAAAAAATTACCCAAATCAGTGACTAAAATTTAAAAGATCGAGTAACCCCTACTATAAAAAGCAAATTGCAAACATTAGCTTACTTATTTTATAACCTTCTCATTTTGAAGTCGCTTGAAAATAATTATTAATTCTCTCTTATATAATTTACTGCATCATGCAAGATCTAAATATTTATTTTTATAGTAAATTCAAATTCACTATTTTAACCCTTTTACTGGTGGTGGCAATATGTGTGCCGCCAACATTTTTATGATTTTTTCCACTTTGTAGCACCAATACCTTAAAACTTGGCAAGAATATTGCCACCATGTTTTTTCTTCCACTAAATATGAATATTTTTTTTTCTTTAATAAAAGTTATTAAAGTACCCACAATAAACCGAAAAAACGAGTTTTTAATTTTCCGAGACACAAAATTGCTTTTACCAGTTAAAGGGTTAATAAAGAAATAAGTTGTGTAGTTTTTGTGAGGAATACTGTTTATAATAAAGTTTGTGATGAAATTTGTTTTTAACGAAATGAGTTTGTGACAAACAACAAAACTTGGACTTTCTGCGTACGTACATCCCGTAATGTCATAAAAGTAATGACACTAGGTTCCAGTTTGGTATATATCTATAAACATATGTATTTGTATTAAGACAGAGTCCTTGACTATGTGATGTTCAATTGCCTGATCAAACTGTGGTTACCCTGTTAATGCACTCGGTGTTTACTTATGTGTCGATTTACTAAGGCCAATTTTTTTTACAAAACGTCATTTAAAGCTATTTTTTACAGGTATCAACCAATGTTTAGAGATGATAAACTTGTCACCACCAAGTTATCGGCACGTTGATGATGGCGAGCGGCCGGTGAATACTAAGAAAATATACTCCAGGAGGCCCTGGTATGCTCTGCCGGTAGACCCATCCGATTTAGTGCCGAGAAACCAGGATACCTCAGGTATTGGATAATATTTTATATTTTCAATTTAAAAAATTTCTCTTGTCGTGGCAACTAATTCATGTATTCTCTTTCAACTAGATCTATTCCAGGCGATATCTTTGATCTCTCTATACGATAATAAATTAAAAACAAAAACGAATATTTCTTACAACAGTAATCCTTAATAACTAAGCAGTTCGTATCATTATATACATAATATGTAAAAAGAACCGAGTTTAACTTTATTAGGCTATGGTGATGTATTAAGAGAGACTCTGCTGTCCATCCCTGAACCATTAAGTTCCCTTAGTCGCTTCTTACGACACCCACTGGAAAAGAAAGAGTGGCCCACTCCATGTTAGGCAATTAATACAAATTTACATATTCATAATTATTATAATTATATAGATTATTCTAAATATATATATATAACTTCTAAATGATAATATGATGATAAAACTCACATCTTACACTTTCAAAAATACATTTGTGGAAACCACATATAATTTGGTGCAATAGTTTTTCCGTGATAAGGAACAAATATACAGATAGACAAACAATAATTATAAAAAAATATTGTTTTGGTTCTACTCTCCACATATCAACACATCAATTTTTCGTAAAGATCTACGTACAAGAATCGTCCAGTTACAATTTTGTTATAGTAAGTAAGATAATTATTTCTATTTACTTTTCGTAGGGTATATTGATTACAACGGACAAGAGGAACAGTATTATGAGCCTAATCAGGATTATGTGGATCCAGTGACGTCAAGACACGCAAACCTAGTAGAACAGTTTGATACAGTGCCGCCCAATACCAGGTTCGAACAAGGGCCGACCGTTGGATCCGTTTCAGAGTTCTCTATTGGAAATGCTATCAATTTAAGAGGTAAGCTTATAAGATATATACTGAAGAATAGATTATTATGGCCATGAGATTGTAGTTGTGATGGGCCTTGTTTTTACTGAAGTCCAACGTCTTATATTTTCTTACTAATATCAAGTAATTTAATTACGATATACAATCTATCAAATCGAAATACAGCCATCTGCTTGGCGAAACAGAGTGAAAAAGAGCAGTTCATGTAAGAGATTTTATCAATGTCCTTATCGGTAGATAGATGTCCGTTTGACGGACGCTTTTGGTGGTAGTCGGCAGAGGAATTTCCAAAAAGCATAAAAAGTTTTTTTATTTTTTATTAATCAGCAATCTAAAACTGAAGTTACGTATAGAAGTACATAAGTGAAGTTAGAAAGCTTCATTATAATAGAACTCATTATAATAGAACATTATAATACAAACTGTCATTCCTTATTTCATCCTTTTAAAGGTAAATTCTTTAAAGGCCAATAAATATATAAATTTTTATATTGAACTTGAATTTTAATTTGAAATTTCATGTGCTTTAACTAACTTCAAAACTGACAAAACTATAAACAAAATGTAAAATCCTGTTGTACCCCTTTAAAGATTTTATTATTTATTTCTTATTACGCTATATAAATGCTATGTAATACGTAATATAAAGATTTTATCTGGAAAATTTCATAAATATAGATTTAGTAGTTTCGGCTATGTGTAAGTTAGTGAAACGGTCAATTTTATTTTATATATAAAAATTTGTCAAATAGAATTATAGTCGTAACACGAATACGTGAACGTTATTCGGGTGAATAATGTGAATAAGTTAACTCCATTTAATCATTACATCTTATTAAAGCAACCGATTGGCATCCTATTACTATATATTACTATGTATAAATAAATAAATAAATATGTATGGTTACTATAGCGACCCATTGACATACTTTTATAAGTATATTAACCAACAACTATTATCTCACTTGTCAGATGGCCTCTTATTAGGACTCTTATTTCTATTTCTAGTTTTTCTTTTCTATATATATATATAGTATATATATATATATATATATATATATATATATATATATATATATATATATATATATATATATATATATATATTGTATTATGATGTATAATTATATGACGAAATAATATTATTAGAAAACAATATACAATATATTGTTTTCTAATATATCTCACTCTATATGCAAAGCAACCAATTACTTTGGCTAGCTTACAGTCTATTAGGATACTACATCAGACATCAATTATGCCGTCCACCTCTCTAAAGCTTAATAGAGTTATATTAATATGGGCTCTATAATCTGATACGGGAAGGTCAGGATATAAATTAATATAGTATAGTAAACAAAATAATAAATACTTAATATATACGTTTATTTACGCCACATCGGTCTCCTATTGGAACGAGAAATAATATTTTTGCTTACCCCAGTTGGTGTCAGGTATAAAAGTCAAAATGCTCCGATTTATACCTCACCGGTACTATAAAAGAAAATATAGAATCATATATTATTATACCGACTATAAATACCTATGCAATTAAGGGATCGCATTTGCACGACTTTGTCAAAACTATTTCTAGCGATTGTTGTCACGATGGCAAATAAAGAGGGGTGGCATATTCTGGGTATATGCAAATGAGTTTAGATCTTTAGCGTAAATAGTGTGTTATCTATGGTATAGACAAGAATACTTCACAGCTATTTTATAACTAAGAAGATGCCATCCATGATATTATATGGTTACAGCAGTATTAAGTTATATGGGAACATTATATAATATAGTGTTTATTATCAAAATTAATTTAATCTACGTATTTATCTCTATCTAAAATATTTAAATATCGCTTTATCCATTTATTTAAAACACTGAATATCTAATTATTTAGTAAATGTATTAAATTATGAAACTAGAATATTATGAAGTTAATGATCTAATCATAATCAAGCTAAAATTAAACTAAAGTATTCGGATCATTTGTCAATTTTAATAGAAATATTTAATGTATTTAATACTATACTTAAATAAGGTTCAATAGGTTAACATTATACAATATATAATATTATATTGGCAGAGATATATGAATAGAAAATGCTCTGCGTACCTTTAGTGAACCTTTGGGAAAACAGAAACATGTATTATGCGGTTGAAACTCAAATTTTTCTGTACTATTAATCATAAATAGTTACAAATTATCATGCCTATATTAATACACAAATTGCACATACATTGAAGAAACATAACACACAAGATGTTATTATGAAATATTTACGTAAGTACGATCCATATTCTCTTACGAATACAATAATATGTCAGGAGTAACCTGTGTAGTTTTTTAATGCAAACAAGCAATCTTACGGCCCGTTTAACAGGAAGTGGTAATCGTCGCCTACAGACATACGTCGCCATCAACACTATGAGAATCACAGAATATACTGTGGTTTCCATCATACCTCTCATTCAGAACTAAGATTCTATGTAATATGTAATTAACAGTAAAAATTCGGTGTGGAAACACATCAAGTACCTGTTGCTATATTGATTGCAGTGGCTTTATATATTAATTAATTTATTGTTACTATAGACAGCCGTTTCTATATTTTATATTTTCGAGCCGTTTATCTATAGCGTTTCTTTCTATCGGTAATAATAATAAATTCGTGGAAGTCGGTCTGCATTTATGTAGACAATAGTAAACTCATTCGACGCAGCTATCTAAATTTAGCTGTATGTAATTACACCTCCTACGCACAATAGTTTTCAAGACATTGTGTGTAAGAGGGTAACGTTAATTATGACCCCTCTGAGAAGCAGTTCAAATAAGCTACTGGTTACTGTGGCTATTCGTGGAGTTAGTCCCATTGTAAATTACTGTACTGGAATCCATATTTATTCTTACAAGTGCAGATTTTAGTTTATATCATATTTTTTTAAAGTACCTATTTGTAACTAAATGTTTAAGACTACGTGTTCTGATACAAAGAGAAGAAATGAGGAATTTAAATTATTTAATTGAAATAAGGGAGAAAGGATAGGTAATGGGGACTCTAGCGACCTCATTCTTAGCAAAATCTTTATTATACCGACCTCCACATGGTTTATAAAAATCATCATCAACACTTAGTGAATTTCACTGGTTATTTGATAACAATTATTTGGTTTAATTCCACTGTCATTAGTATGTGTGTGACTATCAACTCAATCTTCGAAATTGACCAGCATTATTACTACTAGAAGTTCCACAACCTTCATCTTCATTGTCCGACAATTTGTGGCATCTTCAGGTAAATATTATTGTTGCTCGGAATCTAGTTCGACATACAAACTGCGAAACTGCATAGTACTTAGTTCACTAAAATATCTAGTGAATTTAACATAACTGGCTAAGTAACCTGACTTTATCCCGGGACGTATATTAATGCAGTATTTTGCGGGGTTATGGTGCCATTTTAATCTTGAAAAATATCTGAAAAATTTTTTACATTTATTCTAATTATTATTATTATAGCGCCATAGTTTTTTAGATACTAATTTTCAAGAGAAATAATACATCTAAAACAGTTACTGTATCAATAACTGTAGCTACATTGCCTCTACTAGATGTGTAGTGTGTAGTGTAAACAGGATCGATAGACTATAAGTAGTTCGTTTTATGATCCATTACACTTTACTGTGAAAACAATGTCCTTACTCAGACCTCTCGTAATCAATGCTTTCACGTGGGTTTTTAGATAGGTACTTAGGTGCTTTTAGGGCTCATTGTTTTGATATACCTGCTATTTGGTTTCAGGAATTATTATGACTTTTATACCTTTATAAGAGTATAGGTACTTTCGAAAACTCATATTGTAAAAGGCATTAAAATAAAAATACGTCAAATATTCACAACATTGTAAGAAATAGGTACCTTATATCGATAGTCTTTGTGGAGGTATAGTAAGCATATTGGGGTTTTTAGTGATGATAATGGAAAAATATCCCTGTGCTAACACTATACACTGGCAGAGCACCAGTAAGTAACAATAACAAATAAATAACAATTCATTAAGATTAAAAACTGCAAAAATTTGCAGGAGGGATCGCTTAGAGATCGACCTGACAGAGTATATTGTTTAAACCGTGGACATTCCTTTTCCAAGATGTAGTGTGTAGTGGTTTAAGATACTTTAATAGAATTCGAGGATTAATTCTCAATTAAGTAAATCTGTAAAATTAAGTTTTCTAAATTATTCTGGGTGCTCAATGTTGTGCTTGGATGCCCATTGTAACGTTTTTGTAATACAGATTATGTGAACTTAATATATGTGTTTATAATATTTCTTTATTTCTTTCAGAAGTGGCACTTGTGGCATTGGGCGGCGCGGGCGCAGCCCTTGTGTTGCTGATAATAATGGCGGGAGTATTTGTGGTGCGCAGACGCAAGAACAGTCCATCTCCAGCGCCGTCTCCACCTATACTTGTGTACCCTCCCCATGATATTGCCGGACCATGCTATATGTGAGTATATTTTTAAATTAATTAGTTAATAACTAATTTACATATATATATATATATATATATATATATATATATATATATATATATATATATATATATATATATATATATATATATATATATATATCTTGTGCATTTACTTTAAATTATTTTACCTTTGATGGATTGATATTGGAGTTTACCTTCAGGAATCTACTTAAGTGGATAATTTAATTGAAAATTTGAATTTTTAAGGCAAGACCGTACAAAATTTGTCTGCACGAGTAACTTTGTCCTATTCTTGTTCATAATGTCAAGTAACTGTGTTAACATGACTCCGTATAAAGTTTATAATATAAAATATGTTAATGTAATTTACTGGGCGTGGAGTTTTATTATTATTTTCATAGTATGTATTTTATATTAAATGTATTTTATACTAAGATATATAACAATAACTAACTCTCTTGGCTATTCGGGAAGGATTTGTATATCTTTTTTTATTCAAGAGTTCTGAATACGAAATAAATATTTCGAAATGTTTAAAAGCTGTTTGTTTAGCTAGCTAGTCTCATTTAATGTGTATACTTACTACAATGCAGGCTCATAAATCAGTTTATTATATTGAATATAATAGTTTATAATACCGAATATGGATAATCTTGTTGAGATGTCAAATATCTAAAAACTTATCGTGATATCTTTTTGATAACTAGACACCAATCTGACGAATGCTAAATAGTTTCTGTTTATTTATACGTTTAATATCTATTGTGACTTTCTTAAAAAAATTGTACCTTTTCACACCGTCTGCTTCTGCCTATAATTGATGGGTTATTATTTTATTCTTTGAAAATAAAGAAATCTTTTTTTGCGCGTTTTTGTAAATAGCGATGAATTTATTAATGATGAAAATCACTGTATATTGAACGTACTTCAGGAAATATAATTATTTACCATAATAGCTTTATATAGGTATGATTGTTTTTAGGTGAGTATACCCACGTATAAAGTAGGTGGCTTAGGGCTCAAGGTGCAGTGTTCAATAATCATCACTAAACAAATTTGATAGAGGGATTGCCCTAGTTATAAGACCGCCTTTTGCACCTTTATATGTATATTTTGATCAGTACTTCATGTTACTGTATTTCAGTTGAATTGTTTATATGTCATTGTTAATTTTTATGTTTTGGTGCAATAAATAAATAAATAATTCAATCATTTAATAACAGTGACCTTAATTTTTTACCAAATACAGTAAAGGACTAAACAAATCTTAGAACTAAAACATAAAACATGCACGGGTAAAAAACGATTACTTCATTCAAGAAAGAAATGTTTTCGGAAAACTTTATGTAATATTATATATATTATATTATCCTGTATAGCTTTACCATTAATAACACTTTTAGATTAGCGCCATAGAAATTTTATCAAAATCGGTCCAGTTATTTATTTAGTTTTTGAATAAAATTAACTGGTTTGCAACAATGGAAGCACCTTTTTGTGGAATACTAATATAATTATTATTTAAATTACTGTTTATTAGTAAATTATATTGGCATAATCGCTTCCTTGAGCAAATGCGTATTAGAATTTTTCTGTGGTCATACTTTGCTGTAAAAGACTGCGTTCTTAGAGCTCGCTACTACATTATTCACAAATGTATTAGAGCAACAAAATAATTCTCTTAACACATTTACGTTAAATAAAAGTTGGAGGGGTAGGGAAAAATAGTAGTCTGCTGGTTTGTTATAAAGTATAACTGCACCTTTAGAGTTCGTACATCCGTGGAAAGGTCACTGTTCCGCTTAGTAACGATGTGGGCGTTTTGCAGTAACCGTACACCGTAAATCGTACCGTTGGCAGGAGTCTCTAATTTTACTAATGTAATAAATGTAAAAGTTTATGAAAATGTTTTTTAAATGTTTTAGTATTTATTAGTCCGTAAACGTTTAAACAACTAAATGGTTTTAAATTTAATATGGTACACATAGACCTTACCCCAAAATAACATACAAGATCCCGTCCTTCATCCTTATTCATGTGAGCAAATCCACAGGATACAGTTAGTTAAACTCAATGAATTGGGTTAGTTTTGATCGTTCAATTAACAATTTTTGATTTATTTAATTTAGGGTTATGATTAAAATGTTGACTTATATAATAAAATGAACCTTGTAAAGCTTTAAATTTTGTGTAGCGTTGAAATCTAATAACTTTTTAAGCTTTAAACTTGGGAGGAAAAAGCAAAACTGGCCTTTAAGAAGTTGGGATTCTCAACAGGGCAAAAGAGTATTTCACTCCTCAGCATAGACTCTTGCTTTACAAAACCTAAATTCGCCCATATATGAGATACTGCTCACATCTTTGGACAGCAGTACCCCAATATGAAATCCTTCCATTTAACTCTATACATTGTTGAGCGGTTCGAGTTGTCTATAATCTAAAGCTAACCCAAGTACGATTTGGATCCCTTATGTTTGAAGCGAGATGTTGCCTCTTTATGCATTTTCTATCGTCTGTGCAATGGGGAATGTTTCAGGGATTTATATGACCTGATGCCATCATTACTGTTTTACTTATCGTATCTCTCGCCACAGAGCTGAAGTTTAGTCTCACTTCTTGGATGCGTGGCATACTACTACTGTACGTGCATCCCGTTTATTTCGACCTTGTACATCTAGGTTGTGGAATGAGTTCAGTTCAGAGCTTTCAGTTTTCTTCCTACAATATAATAAGGGACATTTAAAGAAAAACGTTCCTACAAGTATTTAAAAGACCAGCAACGCACAAGTAGCTCCTTTCGTGTTGCAGGTATTCATGGGCGACGGCAGCTGCTTCCTATCGGGTGGACCGTCTACTCATTTACCTCCCTATATATCTATAAAAAAAGTGTGTTGCTTTAAAAAATATAATAATTCATTAACTATATTATCTGTTAATATAAATTTATTAACAGTGAATTATAAAGTTATTAGATTTATAAAAAGAGCTAGTAAGTAATTGAAGTATGAAAATCCCGTTTCGTATGTACTAACTGCGTGTCTGCAGCATTATATATTTTACTTATAATACTCTGAGAAAATGTAAAGTTACTTAGAACACGGGATTAATGTATAATATTATATGATATGCTAATGAAATATAATTTCTTATGAAAAATTGCACTATATGAGCAGAATATGAAACTACTCAACATTTTTCCTAAATAAATATGCATAGAAAAATTATGTATATATTTATTATGATACTTAAAATGGCACAAAAGCTGACTGTTCACTTGATGAAAAGTGGTAACCGTTACCTGTAGATATGAACATAGAAATTACAGAATACACTATTATGCTTATGGAATCCCTCATCCGTTGCTAATCCTGATAACAACGATGTTACATCTCCGCACTCTGTAATTCACAATGTAATCCACAACTATATCTCATTATTATTATTTATGACATTTCATATTCACTACTTACATGCGTCATGTTACAGTAGAAGGCTAAAATTTATTGTTATTATATATTCGTTAAGTAAAACATTTTCTTAAATGAATGCTAATGACTCTAATTTTATCCTGTACAGATATTTCTATGTTATATGAATTAGGTATTAATTTTTATTTCTTTCACAGAATAAATCCTTTGAATTAGGTAATATAGCAATTATAACCAAAAACTTGTTACTGCTAATGTGTTTCTTTATAAGGTTAAATGTCACAGGTTCTATTTAGATGTATTTATTTTGTGATGCTGAAATCAAGTAAAGGTCAATTTTTCTATCAATATTTATATGAAATGAATGAAAATTTAAAAAGCTAACTCAGTTAACCGATATAATTCAAGATATTGTTAATAAGGGGTTATAAAATATGTCTACAAATATTTATAAAGCCGACAACATATAAGTCGTAATGCAAGTGTTCATAGGCGACAGTAGCCGCTTATTATCAGGTAAAATGTGTACTCATTTGCCTTCCTAACAATAAAATAGTGCTTATAAAAAATCTAATAAACAGTAGATGCTAAAGACAGATTAAAATAGTTAATCAAAGTATACGAAGAGACATTTGTTTAGTAGTGAGAGTGATATTATTAATACATATTATATCCTTACTATCATAAATGTAAAGGTGAATTAGTTACCACCAAGAGCTTTTTTTTGGTTTAACTAATCTCTATGAAATTCAGTATACACATATTATATGGGATATATTATATGGGATGGAGGACATAGGCTATGATAGTATCAGTTAGTAAAAATTTTCCGCTTACGCGGACAAAATCGCGAGTAAAAGCTGAAAATGAAAGACTGTGTTAAACCACTACACTACCAAGCTCGTCATTATATAATAATGTATAAGTACTTAAAAAATACGACGCTGAAGTACTTCATATTACAGTATCTGTTCTTCTTGGTTAAAATATCCTGTGTTAGAACATAATCAACCCGTGTACTAAATCAGCCATTTAAGAGTGATTGAATAACAAAAATATACGTATAAATAACTAAACATCTTAACAAATTAGCACATTTATAATATTAGTAGAATTACTTACTGTAAATAATGTAATATATTTTTTTTTTGATAAAAAGAAAAAATACCAAATAATTATATACATACCATATTTTTGTTAGACATATTATTGTTTGTGTAAAAAAATTTTTTTACATGTTTATATGTCTTGATGTCTATTCTTACCAATATACTAGTACTAGTAAATTTGTTTTAGGGTAGACACATGTAATAGAAATGTAGGGATGACGAAACAAATATAGTTGAGTGGGGTTAGTATGGCGGGTTGATATATTGGGTATGGCTGCAGCATAACTTTAAGAAGAAGGTTGCTATGACCTTTCTGGTGACCAGTGGGAATAGTTACGTAAATGAAATTCCGTAACAGGTTACACAAGTTTTCCTCTACAGCTGCAATGAGAAAATGAAACAACACAATAGAGACCTAGACGTAATATTAATCACATATGGTCAGAAAGGTTGTATTATGCTGTTTTATGGAAAT